GTAGATTTGGAAGGAGACACGGGCAAAATTGAGTGAGATTAGACATGTTCTTTCTCCTCCTCTGGGCTTCCAGGATCCATTGGAGCAAACAGGGTTCCCACTATTTTCCTGGCAACCTCATGGTGTTGGCCTTGGGGGAAGTATACTTGGGTAACTCTAAACCTGTCAAAGTGTGGTCCTGGGTCACCAGCAGGAGCATCACCTGAGAAGTGGTTAGAAATGCAGATTATCAGTCCTGCCCCAAGCATACTGAAATAGAAATGTGTTTTAACAAATCTTCTAGGTGGTTCTGATGCAAACTAAAGTTTGAGAACCATCACTCTAAATAAAGCACTGTGCCCAATTTTTTAAATTAGCACACTTTTCTCTCCAACAAGGAGTTATTGACTTTCTCTCTCCTGTCTGTGCTCAGGCAGAAATGTTGCCAAAAGTGCAAACAAGCCCAGTCTCTCCAATTGGGCGAGGCCTTGTACTGCAGACTTTATTTGCACTATGACTATGTTCTGACAATCCATCAGACAGACTGAAGTTACTGCCAAGCCTCCCTGTTGGGAGCAACACTTTAAATAAAGGCCCTCAACTACTTCATTTTCATCAGCCAGTTTATTGTATTCAAAATGCGCTTTTTGGGGGGAGGGGGGTGTACCTAGTACAGCTTCACCCAGGGCAGAATCATAAGCACTTCTACCTGGGAATGTTTAAATGAACCAAAGTTTCTAGAACACTCAACAGACCTGCTCTCAGTACATTAGTACACACAAGAGGAAAAAGAAAAATATCAGTATACCAGGTAATAGCTTGATAATGGTCATCAATGGCAAAATTCTATTGGATTCACTTATTTGCTCATAAAAATTAACAAGTAAAACATGTTTGGGCTAAAATCAGCAATGTTCAGGGTTTTCAGGGGTGGTGTCCCATTTAATTTTTGGACTGCCAGAAGGTAACTAAATATTTCCCCTGGTGTTTGTTTTGAGCTACATGGTAGTTTTATTACAGAGATGCCAGAAGGTAAGGCATGCTGCATTTCTGTGTTCCACCAGACAGTTTGGGAATTCAAGAAAGTGATTTCTCCCTCATTCCCATTGTCTTCTAATCTTCATTGCTCAATAAAGAGCTTGGAAAGTCCAGAAAAAAACCAGGTGCAGACACAGGAGGCAACATGAGAAGGGTGAGTATTTTTCCTGGATTTGAATGGGCTTGGAAGTGGACTGGAACTGGTGAAGGACCAACTCCTTGTTGCACCTCAGAGCAAGTCAGGTCACCTGCCACACAACATGGTGGGATTTGGTAGGTTGTTCATTAATATTAGCTGATTTGTTTTAATAAAGGGGCATTTCACTAACTAGGTAAGTTTTTAAGCTATCCACCAAATTATTGTGAGGAAATATTTTAGCACATTCCATATTTGTGGAATCATTGGAATACTGGTAGAAATGATACATGTTCAGTAGTGGTAAACAGCTGGAATTATAATACAAGATGTCTAGCCAGGAAAAATAGAGCTATGTTCCCAAAGAGTAGTCACTGCCTTTGTTGATTTAAGACTTTAGTTTTATACATATACCCCTATGTTCATTGCAGCATTATTTATAATAGTCAAGATATGGAAGCAACCCAAATGCCCATCAATAGATGAGTGGATAAAAAAAGTGGTGGTACATACAGATATACAATGGAATATTACTTGATCATAAAAAAGAATGAAATCTTACTATTTTTTGTGACACCTAGAAGTATCATGCTAAGTGAAATAAATCAGAGAAAGACAAATACCATATGATTTCCCTTATATGTGGAATGTATCGAACAAGATAAATGAACAAATGAAACAGGAACAGACTCACAGATAAAGAGAACAGACTGATGGTTGCCAGAGAGGGTAGGGGTTAGGGGGCTGGCTGAAAAAGGTGAAGGGATTTAGAAATACAACTTAGTAGTTACAGAATGGTCATAGGGATGTAAGGTACAACATAAGAAATATAGTCAATGTTATTATAATAACTATGTATGATGTCAGGTGGGTACTAGAAATACTGGGGGAACACTTTATAAAATATATGATTATCTAACCACTTTACTATACACCTGAAACTAATACAAAATAATATTGAATGTAAACTGTAATTGCAAAATAAAATTTTAAAAAATAATTTGAAGTTTTCAGAATGGACCTCAGAATACAAAGATATGTTTTTGCCCCCAAACAGGTCTAGAATTCTCTATCACTGCATGTTTGGGACTCCTTTACCCTCCAGTCTTTTTTTCTTTTCTTTTTTTTTTTTAATCCACAACCGGGGACCAGCCTGCAGCCCTGGCATGTGTCCCAATTGGTAATCCAACCAGAAACTTCTCAGTTCACAGGCCAATGCTCAGCCTACTGAACCACACCAGTCAGGGTTACCCTACAGTCTTAACATGGTATGGAACTTCTTTAATCCAGGGTGGACCTTGCCCAAGATGGGCAGTCAGGATCCTTCTCTGGGGAATTTGGATTTGAACAAAACTAGTCAGTCTAGCAACTGAGGTTGTATAAACTCAAGTTTTAAGGCAACCCTTAGGCTTTGAGAAGGTACAAAGCACATCTGCAGAAAGAGAAGTATAGAGGGCATTGCACTTATAAGGATGAGAATTGCTGACTGATTACCTCCCAGTGGCAGGATCCACTTCCTCACAAGGCTCTATTCTTCTGCTGCTGGGTTTCTAGAGAAAACATCACACCTTTATAATAATTTGCTATTTTTATCTCTGAAATAAAACTAGCTTAAATAGCATTTTATTCCTTGTAAACTTCTTGCTTAGACTAAGGTGGGATGGGGGAGGGGTAACAGAGTTTGGTCTAACTCTATAAGCTGATGATGTTGCCCTACCTTTTAAAATGGAAGAAAGGCTAGGAAGCTTCTGGATTGCTCCATTTGGAGTATCCAGGCTGGATAATATACTAGTTGCTATACATTCATGTTACTATTGCTATTGAGGGGCAAATGCTCTGCCTACATTCTCATTTCATTGCCACAATCTTATAATGAGGCTTCTGAGTAGTTAATATAACTTGCTGAGGACACAGAGATGGCATATGACCAAGCCAGGACTAAGGGTGCAGATCTCCTTGGCCATGCCACAGAAGGAGCTCAGAAGGTTCCAACCTGGGCCAACCTTGGGCAGTGTCAGAGAGCATTTGGCTCAAGGCACTTATTCAGAAGGGTTCTCAGGGATGACTCTGTTCCAGGCAGGGAAGAGGGGGCTGTGTGAATAATGGGTGATTAAGAGGAGGATCAATCAAGCTCAATTTACACTGTTCGTTAGCAAGCATCCACAGTGATTTATTCCATATTAGCGCTTGTCCTTAATGTTCCGTAATTATCATGGGAGTTGTGAGAATGGCAAGGTGTTGTTGCAGCAAGGCCTTTCTACAAGCAATTCTTTGACTTGGGATATAGAGCCCTTCTCTAAGACACAGAGATGGATCTGCTTTTATACCTGGCACTTACCTGAGCAGCCATATGGTACGGGTCTCTGATGGGCTCAGTGCCAGCTTCTGATTCCAAACTAACTCATCATCTGGGCTTTTATTGCTTCTCTGGAAGACTGCTGGTAACCTGTGGGCGGCCCACAGAACCTGCAGCAGTTCCTTCCCATCCCAGGACGTGGCTCCCCGCCAGGTGCCTTCAGGGAGCAATTGCAGAGGCCCCAACCTCCCAAGGCCAGCTAGTCTAGGAGGAGAAGTCTGTTTATGGTTGCCTTTGGGATTTGATTAAGAGGATGATATACACATGATGGTGAATGGTTACAATTATTTGTTACGAAAATAAAGATGGCTTTCGCAATTTTTTAAGGCCTAGTCATTGCGAAACCTTCTCTCCCGTCTCTTCTAACACTTATGACCTCATTTCTGAAGATCAAAGTAGACAGAGCTTTGGTAACTCTTCACCCTAGCATTCCCAAAACATGTGTGCATATCCCAGACTCCCTAAACCCAGGAAATTAGACCAAATTTGTGGATTGTAACTAATATGATGAGTTTAGAGCCCCAAGCCATCTTTCTTCTCTGTTTTGTTGAAGGAGTGCCTTGTTTTGCAAGAGCTGGTCATGATGCTGCTAAGAGATAGTTGAAAAGTGTTTTCCATGATGTCATCTAAGCTTATAGGGTTTTGTTTTGTTTTGTTTTGTTTTGTTTTGTTTCTCCTATGTAATAGCATATCTTTTGTTTTGGTCAGTTTTCTTTCCCTAGTTTTGCATGCAGCTGGATGATAGAATGTTGTTTTCTTTTCTCAGGAAAAATTAGACCTTGGTGCTTTCCAAAGTCATTGCTGGGTTAACTGAGCCTTAGAAAGTGCAAGAATCTGTCCTGCAATAAGCAGGAGTATTCTAGGGTGTACAGAAATACTCTTTATTAATGATGATTTTTTATTTCACAATCTGTATCCCAGATTTAGTGACTCATTTTCTGACAGATGAGCTGCTGCCTGTCCTTACAAAGAGCTCCAGACCTGGAGGGCTTTTAATGTAGGTGGAGGCTGAGGGACCCAGAAGTTTGCTTAGTGCCAAAAATTGGCTTTGACTTCAGTGCTGCCAAGGCAGGCACTGACATATCCCGTTGGCTCAGGATGCATGTTACATGCTGGAGACTAACAGAAAAAATGGTAAAGTCAGCTCTCTGGGGAGCCTGCCGAGAAAGCTTTACCCTCCGGGTCCACTAGCATGTTTGCCCACTTCTCTTTTTTCAGGAAAGTCTGATGGCATTATTATTATTATTATTATTATTATTATTATTATTATTATTATTATTATTATTTTGTGCAGAGAGGGAAAACCTCCAAGAAATAGGTGATTTGCTGGACTCTTTCTTTAAGGAGAAATTCCTCTGCTTGCAGTGAGAAACCCATGTTGTTGCGTTCCATGGGAATGGGACAGGGGAAAAGAGATTGTGTCCTGCTGTGGGAGTCAACTTCCCAGAAAGTGGGAATGAGCAAGTTATCTGTGTGCCTTTCATTCTTCAGGTTCACCAGTACTATAGCTGTCTCCCAGAGGAGAAAGTCCCTTATGTCAACAGTCCTGGAGAGAAACTGCGAATCAAGCAACTATTACACCAGCTGCCACCACATGACAATGAGGTAAGGGACTGGGGGGACCTCAAGAATAATTTTCTTAGAATCTTCTCTGAATTGCTACCTTTCTACAGTTAGAATGCTAGATGAAGGAGATCTCCAAAGAAAAATTCTGGCAATGTATTTTAGGTTTTAGCTTCCTTAACTAGAGCCAAAAGAAACTGAAGAAACTGTCGGACACCTTCTGGAGAGTGTTACCAAAAAGCAGAATCTCATTATGGGCTGGATTTGCCTCTGAGCCTGGCACCACTAGCTATTTGAGGGTAACCAGGGAGCACTAAAATTTAAAAGCTCAAGTCCAGGTTTTCTCAGTCGAAGAATGCATGAAGCTGGTTTCCTGAGCATGTCAGATGATTGAGATTCCCTAGGCCAGTTCAAACCCTGCAAAACATTTGTGACTCCTTTATTTTCAGGATCATGTCATGTTAAATGAGTGTGTACATTGCCCACATTACACAGCAGCAGAAGTCCAGTGTCCAGATTTGCAGCTCTGAAAATCTGTGTTTTTGTCATTTAAAGTCTAACTTGCTAGGGTGATCCTTTGCACCCTTGAAAGTATGGCTTGCAGGCTGTCCTTTTCTTCTAAACCCAGACACACAGCACTGTAAGCAGGCTTTTCTTATGTTTGAAGATTAATTGATCATAAGGAAAATATATAAATATGCTTTTAAAAGATCATTATGCTTGAGGGGTTTAGAGTTGTAAACTAGAAATTATTTTTTAAGTATCTGGTTTATAAAAAAATAGTAATCACATAGAAATGAATTGTCCACTGAACTCTGATTGCATTTTAAATAAAAACGTAATTTTCAGTTGAAAAAATTTCGTACACCAGCCTTCTACCAAGTGCCCCACCCACAAGCTAGATCCTAAGGGAAATGACTGAGTGCTTTTTTAGTCTTTACCTTCCCACATTTGAATTAAAAAGGATAAATCAGGAGACATAAAAATAGATTTGAATAAGTAGAGCAAAAGCTTAAACACTGAAGCAAGTCCTAAAAAGACAGCCACGACTCCCTTTCCTATCGTTTACTTCAGACTTCATTAAAAATGTATATAAGTAATGTTTTCTCTTTAAAGCTGAGAGCAAGCCTTGTAACCTGATGCCCAGTTAACTAATTTGGAAGTGAAAATTCAGGTTTTTACAAGCAGGAGGGGTTTCCCTTTCTTTAAAAGCACGTCCATAAAATATCAGTGGTGTAACCATATATTCTGTGGTGTTCAGGTCCCTGTAGTTCTCTCCCTGGGACATCTAAATGAAGACTTGCTTTCCTTATTAACTCTTTTTATGTGAGAGAGAGACCTGGTCTACCCTTTTCTGCTTTTAATGGTTTATTCTGTTTACAATTAACTGTTTTCATGAAAAGAGACCTTTCAAATTCCTTCTTCCTGTTGGTGAGAATTCCTTACATGTGACCCAGAGGGCAGATTTCTCCCATTTGACATGGCCCTTTTGAGAACGAAGGGTGATTCTAAAGTAAATATCTGACCATTCTTTTTTTCACCCTGAGAAAATAATTTCGATATCTACAGCTGCTCTGGTTTTCAAATTTGGATGCACCAGTCTAGTTCAAAAAGTTTCCCTGTAACCATCTGGATGACCAAGCATCTGAGCATTTCAATGTACCTTTCTGATGCCCAGATTACTTTAAAATAACACAGGCAGTGAAAGTAGGACAATGTATACTAAAATGTGTTAGATATGGGACTTTGGGTGGAACATGGACAAGACAGTAAATGATATTGAACCATGTAATGAGGGAATCACTTCCTTTTAAATTGAGTGGTTGAATAATCAGGGAAAGTTCAGTTTGATGCTAGCAGGAGTATCGCATTTATCCAAATCCTCCTGGTATCCACTTTGAAGTTGGAGCATTACAAATCTGCATTTTAAGCCTTGGTTGGCATAGCTCAGTGGATTGAGCACAGACTGTGAACCAAAGTGTCGCAGGTTCAATTCCCAGCCAGGGTATATGCCTGGGTTGCAGGCCATGACCCCCAGCAACCACACATTGATGTTTCTCTCTCTCTGTCTTTCTCCTTCCCTTCCCTCTCTAAAAATAAATAAATAAAATCTTTTTAAAAATGAGAAATTATTTCTAAAAAAAAAAGAATCTGCATTTTACCTCAGTGGATTGAGTGCAGGCTGTGAACCAAAGTGTCATGAGTTCAATTCCCAGTCAGGGCACAGGCCTGGGTTGCAGGCCAGGTCCCCAGCCAGGTCCACGTGAGAGGCAACCGGCATTGATATTTCTTTCCTTCTCTTTCTCCCTCCCTTACCCTCTCTCTATAACTAGATAAATAAAATCTTAAAAAATAAAAATAATTTAAAAAAAAAGAATCTTCATTTTAGGATTTCCCACAAATAAAAGTAGCCAGCTAGAATCTAACAATGTAGTTTTGTTCTAACTCTATTTAGTTTATGGTGACCCTCTGTTTTTTGCAGATAATACTGATTTTCCATTTATAATCTTAATATACTTTCTTTTTAAGTAAACATATTCAAGTTTTAGAATGTGAGTCCATTTTAAAACAGTATTAAGTAAGTAATAGTTTAAGACTATCACAAAATTCCCGAGAAGTACAGACATAAGGGGAGAGATGGGAAATACTGAACCAAATGTCTTTCATTCCCTCCCTTACTTCTGTGTCTGTGTTTGATAAGAAGGAGCATATCTTAACGCAAGTGGATGCATTAACCAAAGCCAATAGCTGTTTCCTCCTGCTCACAGATAAGCAGGCAAGGACCCTGTGAAGCAGCACAGATAACCTCTGAGCCAATTGTTCAGGCTCAAGCCTCTGCTCCCCATTTTCCCAGTAGTGAGATGGGAAAAGAGAAGCTGTGAACCTGTAGACAACAGTTCTGGCTTGCTGGCCTGGAGCCATCCATTGGTCTCAAGGACCACATACATGGGCACGTGGGCTTGAAAATATGAGGACCCCACAATCAATTTGAAGATCTATCCATTTGAAAGAAGGAGAAAGTCCCAGATCTTGGATTGGATCTTAGTATAGTGAACAGAATGAGTCAGTGAGGATAAGGAACAGGTCCTGCCAAACCCTGGGCTCCAGAGTTTGTAAACTTTAGTAAGTAATTTTGCCTGTCAGCAGTCTTAGGTAAAGACTCATTTTAAATGTCCCCAAGCCTGGTGGTGTTAAAGTATAGGCCAGGACCATAAAACCAAATAGGAACATGTTTAATGAGAAAACTCTGAGGCATGTGCTTCAGGAATCCTAAGGAGCAAGAGCAACTCTCCCATGCCATCTTGTGTCTATTCAGGTCCGATATTGCAACTCCCTGGATGAGGAAGAGAAACGGGAGCTGAAGCTCTTCAGCAACCAGAGGAAACGCGAAAACTTGGGCCGAGGGAATGTCAGGCCCTTCCCAGTCACCATGACAGGAGCTATTTGTGAACAGGTGAGTATAGATTCCGAGGCATGAAGACAGATTGCTCTGGCCCACTTTTACTCCACAGTCATTCTGTTGAGTGCCTTCTTTGGGCCAGACATTGTTCTTGGCTGGGGGATACAACAGTGAACAAAATATTAAAAGCTTGATCTTTTAATAAGGTGTAAAGTCAGACAAAAACATAAATAAATGAGATAAAAAGAATATAGGAGGGAACTGGGTTAGGAAGTGTTGGGAGTATTGGAATGTTGCAGTTTTCATAAAGTGGCCTGAAAGTGCTTCCCCCCCAACCCTTAGAAGGTGGCTTCTGAGTGAAGACAAGCAAGAACTGAGAGGGTGAAGCATGCAGGCCTTGTGGAAGGGACAGCAGGGGAAAGGGAGCAGCCAGCTCAAAGGCCCTGAGGCAGTAGCATTTCATTCATGTTCAATAAATAGCCAGTTGGCCAGTGTGTCAGGGTAGAGGCATAAAGGAGAACTAATAGAGGGCCCTAGAGATTTATGTATCCATTGAAAAGAGTCAAGCCAAGGAACGACATATGATGGATTTCTATTTTAAAATGAGTCCTTTAGAAAATAGAGTTTGCCTGAACCATGGGTCAGCCTCTTTCCCATGATCATTCCAGGACTGGTGACATTTAAAGGGTGGTAAATGATGGTCTCCTTAGTTTGAGGGTTCCTTAGCAAAGTGCATGAACCCCCTGCATGAACTCCCTGGGTTGAAGAGTCTGGATTTGTTTTCTCTCCTATTCTCCTGTAGAGTACTCAGGGCATGGCAGAGGAAGGTTTTAAAGAAAACAGGATGGTGAGAAACCAGCCTGCCTGCATTCACCCTGCCCCTCCTCTCAGATGCCAAAAGCTTTGCAATGCTAAATGTTATTTTCCACATTTCACTTAGCCCTGCTGCTTTTTTTATAGGCCCACCTAACTGCTTAGGCTCTAAAGGGACCTATTCAGGTGCTGAAAATATGTGAGCTGGGCCTGTGAAAAGAAAGTGAGAACAGTACCTTAGGGGCCTGGATGCCATTTGGGGGCTTTTTTTTTTATTTTGGAGGGATAGAGTAAGAAGGTTCATGTGGATGGAATGGAGACACTACTTAATAGGGGAGCCAAAGGACCAGAGGTCTGGTGTTGGGGTTTTCATCCTTAAGACACACCCTTGATATGCATGTGGTCAGTTGTTAAGATGTAAGATTCAGTTTGCTCAATTCAGGACCTCCAGCACTCTCAAATCCTTCTCCTAGAGCTATCCCATCTGGGCTCACCTAAGACAGAAGGAAGGTTGGACATTTTGTGGGCAGATATCAAAAATAGTATAGAATAGTGACAAGAGCATGGAGGCAGAAAGACCTAAGTTTGACTCACATTTCTCCTAGATGACCTTGGCCATGTTACTTCTCCTCAGTTTTTTCATCTGCAAAGTGGGGATTACAAATGCCTACATCATAGAATTATGTTGAAGATTGAATGGGATTCTGTATTATTAAATCAAACAAGGGGCCTTTACACTCTAGTACTTTGGCTCTAGTACTTTGGCTCTAGTACTTTGTATGGTAGCCTACATAAGCAAACCAAAACTTAAGCCAGAATCAATGTACTGGAATCCAAGGAAATGAAATTTAAGAACAACCAATCACAAATGCCAACTAGGCCTTCCCAAATAAGGCAACTGCTTAAGTTATAACCAATCAAATAATTTCCTTGCTTCACTTCCGTCTCTTTATAAGAACCTTTCCCTGAGTTCCACTCAGTGGAATGCTCCTAACCACCTTCAGTTTGGTGCTACCCAATTTGATTCAATATTTCCCCAAGTAAACTCTTGAAATTTTTAATGTACCTCAATTTCTCTGTTAACAGTATGCTACCCACTTCTACTAATGTTAAAAAAGGAAGGTGCAGTATTTTTTGTACCATAATGTCTTTCTTTTGTCTGGTCAGTCATGTGAATGAGCTCCCAGAGACTAGTAAGATCTTTACTTCTTTTTCTATAAAGCATTTCAACCCACATGAGGCCCATGATGTAGGAAAGGTTTGGAAGTAGCTTTTCTACTCTCTAGACATTGTCCCCAGAGCTGAGCCCCTCATGTGGGGTTGTGAACCTCATGGCAAACCTCATGGTCAGCAGAGAGCCTTCCCCTGGACCCACTGCTTCACACTTTATTCCTCCCTCAAAGACCCTCAGACCATATTGGTTTTATCCCAACACCAGCTGTAAGAAGGGTTATCAGGGATTCTGCCTTGTTCCTTTCACATGCCTAGTTGGCATGTATGGGGAATGTGAATGGGAAGATAGGGGAAGGAGAGAGAAGAAGCCCTTTTGAGAGTCAGGTCTTGGAAGTGGTGCCTTTTCAATCAAGACTATGTAAAAAGATGTTAGAGGAAACAGGCTAAAAGCATGCCAGAAAGACTTTTAGAAAAATAGTTCAAGGTGGGCATGTTTTAATAAACCCACTCCCCTATCATCTTACAGCCCCCTCTCCCCACCCTCAGCCCCCACAGCCTACTCCTCCTGGTGTTAAACTTGGCTGTGCCTCTGGATGGTGTTTGGAGGATCTAAAAGATAATGAGACCTTCATTCTGTGTAAGTTTGCCTCCTACCTGCAAGCATTTTTCTTTCTTCCCCACCTTTGTGAGTTCTTATTTTCTGACTTTATCTTCATCTTAACTTGGTGGCCCTCCTAAAGGAGAATGGGGGGGGGAGGACACGTGTGTAAAGCAGGTAGCACAGGGACTAGTTGGAAAATAAGTGCTCAGTAGTTGACTATTAGTGGAGGTGGTGGTTATTCATCACCTGCGTATGGTACTGAGAGATGGGAGCCAGTGTTCACACTGACGTTTCCATTTGCCTCACAGTGTGGTGGCCAGATTAATGGCGGGGACATCGCTGTGTTTGCATCACGCGCCGGCCACGGTGTTTGCTGGCACCCACCCTGCTTCATATGTACTGTCTGCAATGAGCTCCTGGTGGATTTGATCTACTTCTACCAGGATGGGAAGATATACTGTGGCAGGCACCATGCCGAGTGCCTGAAGCCACGCTGTGCAGCCTGTGACGAGGTCAGTGCACTCTCCATGGGGCTTGCAGCCCTTCGTGTCAGTTCTCTGTTGTATAACCAACACATCATCCAGTGGCTTCCTACACAGAAAAAAAACACAGACCACTCCACCTTCTTATATTAACCCTTTCCAGAGAGATGCCCCATCTGTTCCTGGTTGTTAGCTTGTCCATGGCTGTGGCTGGCTTTACTGAACACTGCAGTCTCATGGACATCTGTGCGGAAAGGCAGTTAGTTTCTGTACCTGAGGAGACTCCTGGCAGTAGGTCACTTCAGAATGCTTAGAGAAAGAAAAACGGCATTGTGCAGCTTTAGATTTCAGCCGGAATCCCAGGGAGAAATCATCAGTAATAATGTGCTACTTTTATCTCAAGTTCTGTTTTCTTAACTTCATTGGGACAGATTGGTTTGAGAAGAGAAGAAAACTGGTAGCATCATTTAATTTTCCCACAATATACCAGAGTTCTGGTGATGACTCAGGAGGCAGATGGATACACCATTTGGATACCACTGCCCCGCACTCTAAGAGGAACGTGGATTTGCTACCCAGAATCAGAAAGCAGACAGGAACACAAGGCCCAGACCTGGTGCTTTCTCCCACCAGAAGAACAGCCAGGTATGATCTGTAACCTGGAAGAATACAAAACCTGATTTAGTTTTAAAGGTTTGGAGCTTATTGCTCAATTTAAAAAAATTTAAGGGTTTGGAGCAGAAAGGAGAATGTTCTAAAGCTGACCACTTTTAAGGGAATCATTTGGAGAAAATCTTGCCCAGGGGTTTTCTCCTGCACAAAGTACAGTTTTGGTTCTATCTGACCCTGAAAGCAAAAATGTGAGACTGTATAAACACTCCATTTTTCAGTCAGAGTTCACTATTGCATGGGAATTTCTTCCTTACAAAATGCCTATGAAAGATTCACTCTTCTAGGAGGAAGTAAATCAGCCTTAACTAATTTGGATTCTCATGCCTTTGGTGATGTTCAAGAGAGACCCTCTAGACAGGTAGTTGGGAAATGGATTTCAGGTCCAGCCCTGTAATTCTAGGCAGCCACTTTACCTTCACAGTTTGGTCTCCACATCTGAAAATGAGTGCTCATGATATGACGTTATATTATTTAATAGCAAAGAGAATGTGATGATTTATGTGCTCTCTAATTTTTGTTTATTGAGTTATAATTCACATAATATGAAGTTCAACCTGTTAAGGTGTACATATTCAGTGATTTTTAATATATTTACAGAGTTGTGCACCCATCATTACTGTCCCATCCCAGATCATTTGCATCACCCCAAAAAGAAACTGTTGATTAGCAGAAACTTCCCTTTCCCCCCTTTGCCCAGCCCCTGGCAACCGCTAATCTTGTCTCTGTCTCTATGGATTTACATATTCCAGACATTCATATAAATGGAATAATACAATATGTGACTTTTTGTGTCTGACTTCTTTCACTCAGCATGATATGTTCAAGGTTAATACATACTGTAGCATATATCAGTACTGTATTTGTTTCCATGGCTGAATATTATTCAATTGTATGTATCTATCACATTTTGTTAGGCATTTTTCAATTGATGGACATTTAAGTTGTTTCCACTTTATAATTATTATGAATGATGCTGCTATGAACATTTATGTGCAACTTTTCATATACACATATATTTTTAATTCTTTTGAGTGTACACCAAGGAGTGGAATTGCTGGGTCATATGAAAATTCTGTTTAATTTTTTAATATATTTTATTGATCATGCTATTACAGTTGTTCCATATTTTTCTCCCCTTTGTTCCCCTCTGCCCTGCATTCCCCCCCCACCAGCATTCCCCCCACCCGCCTTCTTAGTTCATGTCCATGACTCATATATGTAAGTTCTTTGGCTTCTCCATTTCCTATACTGTTTTTAACCTCCCCCAGTCTATTTTGTACCTACCATTTATGCTTCTTATTCCCTTACTTTTTACCCCCTCTCCCCAATTCCCCTCCCCACTGATAACCCTGTGTGTGATCTCCATTTCTGTGATTCTTTTCCTATTCTAGTTGTTTGCTTAGTTTCTTTTAGTTTTTGTTTTTATTCTTATGTTCAGTTGTTGATAGGTGTGGATTTGTTGTCATTTTACTGTTCATAGTTTAGACCATCTCCTTTTTCTTAGATAAGTCCCTTTAACATTTCATAAAATAAGAGCTTTGTGATGATGAACTCCTTTAACTTGACCTTACCTGGGAAGCACTTTATCTACCCTTCCATTCTAAATGATAGTCTTGCTGGATAAAGTAATCTTGGATGTAGGTCCCTGCTTTGCATGATTTTGACTATTTCTTTCCAGCTCCTTCTTGCTTGTAAGGTTTCTTTTGAGAAATTAGCTGATAGTCTTATGGGAACTCCTTTGTAGGTAACTCTCTGCTTTTCTCTTGCCACTTTTAAGATTCTCTCCTTATCTTTAATGTTGGGTAATTTCATGGTGATGTTCCTTGATGTACACTTCCTTGGGTCCAACTTCTTTGGGACTGTCTGAACCTCCTGGACTTCCTGGAAGTCTATTTCCTTTGCCAGACTGGGGAAGTTACCCTTCATTATTTGTTCAAATAAGTTTTCAATTTCTTGCTTCTCCTCTTCCCCTTCTGGTACCTCTATGATTTGGATGCTGGAATGTTTAAAGTTGTCCTGGGGTTTCCTGAGCCCCTCCTCATGTTTTTGAATTCTTGTTTCTTCATTCTGTTCTGGCTGAATGTTTACCTGTTCCTCTGCTCCAAACCATTGATTTGAGTCCTGGTTTCCTTCCTGTCACTCCTGGTTTTATGTATGTTTTCCTTTATTTCACTTTGCATAGCCTTTATTTCATACTTCATTTTTCAACCGTGTTCAATCACTTCTGTGAACATCCTGATTACCAGTGTTTTGAACTATACCTCTGATAGGTTAGCTATCTCTTCATTTCTTAGTTCTATTTTTGGAGCTTTGATCTGTTCTTTTATTTGGGCCATTTTTTTTTGTCTTGGTATGCCTCTTATATAGTAAGGGGCAGAGCCTTAGGTATTGCTAGGGCAGGGCAACCAGTGTAGCTGGGTTGTGGCACTATATGTGGGGCAGGGGTCTAAAAGGAAACAATGCCACTTTCTTGACTCTCATCTGGCTTTCAGTCACTTCATCCACTTCTCACAAGCAACGTGGGGCCTTCTTGTGCTGAATTCTGGGTGTGTGGGCTTGTGTACATTTTGGGACCCTGTGGGTCTTTCCAACAAACTCTTCTGTGAGGCTGGGAGTTTCCTCTGCCACTGCAATTCCCACAGGTTCTTACAGCCAGAGGTTTTGAGGCTTTATTTCCTGGTGCTGGAACCCCGGGTTGCGTGGTCTGTCTTGTCCCCAGTTGTTCCTCCTGGTGCGGCCTCATGCAAATGTTGGACCACCCAGTCTGCTAGCCACTGCCTTGCATACCTGGTTCCCCAGCTGCCACCTTCCCATTTGTCTGCTCTGTCCCAGCTGCCCATCTCTGCCCCTCTCAGTCTGAATGAATGTTTCTCCTTTAACTTCTTGGTTGTTGGACTTCCATAGAGTTTGATTTTCTGGCAGTTCTGGTTGTGTTTTTGTTTTTAAATCTGTTGTCCTTATTTTGGTATTGGGAGGAGGCAAAATGTATCTACCTACACCACTATTTTTGCTGGATGAAATTCTGTTTAATTATTTTAAAGAATCCAAACTTCCTTCTACAACTAACCATTTTACATTCCCACTATCAATAAGTAAGGATTCCAATTTCTCCGCACCCTCCTTAACACTTATTGACTGTCTTTTTTTATTATAGTCATCTTGGTGAAAAGTGGTTTTGATTTGCACATCCTTAATGGCTAATAGTGTTGAGCATCTTTTTATGTGTTTATTGACTATTTGTATATTTTTCTTTTTTGAAGAAGTTTCTAATCAAATCCTTGGCCCATTTTTCAATTGGGTGATCTTTCTTTTCATTGTGGAGTTATAACTGTTGTTTATGTATTTGGATACTAGTTCCTTATCAGATACTTGAATTGCAAGTATATTCTCATATTCTGTGGTTATATTTTCACTTTCTTGATGATGTCCCTTGGAACACAAAAGTATTTAACTTGTATAAAGTCCAGTTTATTAATTTTTTCTTTTGTTGCTTACACTTTTAGTGTATCTAAGGAATCATTGCCTAACCCAAGGTCAGGAAAGTTTATGCCTGTTTTTTCTTCTTAGCATTGTATAGTTTTTGGATCTTTAGAGCTTCAATTCCCTTTGAGTTCCTTTTAGTGTATGGTGTGAGATAGGGGTTCTGATTTATTCTTTTGTATGTGGCTATCCAGTTGTCCCAGCCCCATTTGTTGAAGAGACTATTCTTTCTTCCTTGAATGTCCTTGGCACCCTTATTGATAATCAATTGGCCATAAATTTTTGGGTTTATTTCTGTACTTTCAATTCTAGTCTGATTTACATGTCTCTTCTTATCCCAGTACCATACTGCCTTGATTACTGTAGTTTGTGGTAAACTTCTAAATCTATGCTTTGAAATTTAAAAAACTCTATATTAAAGGTCAAAATGCAAATGATTCTGAGGGCTTGTAGATAGTGTACATGAAGGTGGCTCATATTACCACAACAGTGAGTGGTGAAGAGTATGCCAGACTGGAGAACTAACTGCCCATCTGAGAACAGCAGCCCCTCCTCAGTTTGAGCTACTGTGGCCACACAGGAATGTATACTGAGTATTGCCAAGTATATATTTGAAAGAGGAGCCAGGATTCCAGGTGTTTATATGAAAATTCCCATTTTAAAAAAGAATATTGTGTATAGGCCAAATAAAACAGATATATGTGTTCACAGTACCCATGAGCTGTCAATTTTTAGTCCTGTTTTATATTCTTCATAGTAGAATATTCTTTCTCTCATTAAAATGTGGTGAAAGTAATTACTGCCGAGGCCAGAAAACATGTTTAATCATAAGTTAGGCAAATCCAAATGCAGGAGCTGATTTAGATATAAAATGAACATATACATATCAAATTTTATTTAATAATTTGTGGATGGGACCTGCTTTCCTACCCTTCTAGTATGGGGCTCCTAGCTTTTCTCATTTAAAATGCATTCTCATGGCTGGTCCCTAACCATTTTGCTTCCCATCTCCAGATCATCTTTGCTGACGAATGCACCGAAGCCGAGGGGCGGCACTGGCACATGAAACACTTCTGCTGCTTTGAGTGTGAGACAGTGCTGGGTGGCCAGCGCTACATCATGAAAGAGGGAAGGCCCTACTGTTGCCACTGCTTCGAGTCCCTGTATGCAGAATATTGCGACACCTGTGCCCAACACATAGGTGAGGCATCACTTGGGGCTCAGCTTGGTCCTACTGGGACTGGACTCCCATTGTGTCTAGGGTAGTTATAATCTCTTTGGTTGCAAATGATAGAAACCCAATTCATACTGGCTTAAGTGAAAAAGGGAATATTTTGGCTTATGTTACTAGAAAGGCTAAGGAGTATGTTGGCTTCAGGTAGGGATGGATCAAGGGTTCATACAAAATCTGGTTTTTTTTTTCTTTTGTGTTTCACTTCAGCTTGTCTTCTATTGGCATCATTTGGGAGCAAACTATCATCTTATGCTGGCCAAGATGACCCTCCAATTATACAGTCTTAGCATTTGTATTCTATAAAGGAGTGGGGCTGTGTCTCTTCCAGTATCTAAGTCAGGTTTTCTATATAAGAATTCCATAGGTTCTTGTTTGGTCATATATTCTGCCCTGGAAACAAGAAAATAAGAGATTCTTAGATTCTATCAGTCTGCCTGAGTCATAGGCCCACCCCTAAGGTGAGACTGTGTGATGTACAGACCCACTACTAATGGGAGGGGGAGAGTTCTCAGAAGGAAAATATAAAGAGATGTCTTCCACTGCCTCCATGGAAAAAACTCAAAGGTCAAGAGGGAAGAACCAAAGCAGTTCTCTTTATAGGAAGGGAAGTCAACAAAACCAAATGGTTTCTGGCAAGCATGTCTTTAAAAAAGGTTGAACCAACCAAATACAAAACAAGAGAACCTCAGATAGCTCATAGCTATAAACTCCCCAAATTAGTGGCAGATGTGAGATGGTGAAAATCATTCCTTTGCATATACTAGCCAATTTGTTCAACCCTCCAACACTGTTCTGGATCATGCTGCATCTGTGGCTTCTTCATTCAACTTCTGGCACCTTGAGAATGAGCCACCCTTTAAAAAGAAAAAGAATTGGCAGTGATGAATGTCTGTGAGCCCAGCAGCCTGCTCTTCCTCTGGTTTGTGCAATTCCAAGAAATGTACTCAGAAGCTGCCAGCTTCTTACCCACAGAAGGTAGATGTGGAGATAGTATTGGAGCCCATTTTGCCCCACTTTGAAGATTTTATTGGGAATAGAAAGAAATGGCTTTATTTCAACTTTGTTGAACTTTGTTTCAGCTTTGTTTCCCTTGTTCATCAGAAGTGATTTAGTCAAATGAAAAGTTAGCTAGCAATTTGGAGAAGTTTGTGTATTGATAAAAATCACAGCTTTGTGGACAAGGCACCGACATCTGCTCCATGGTCCTTTGCTGTTTGGTGTCTATCCCAAACTACCTGCTTCTGTGAGGCCTTTCCAGGCTGGAGGCCTTGTGAGGCCCGGGGTTAAGCATTGCTATGTCAACCTTTGTCCAGCAGCATCCCCTTCTGAGGCCTTGAGTGATGCATGGATTCCCTTTCCCCAACCCCTAAATACCTCACTCTCTTGCAACCTGATGCCTCAACCAAGAATCTAACAGCTTTCATTCTCACAAGGACAAAACAATTAGAGAGACAAGCTTCTTTTTATAGTTAGAGTTAGGGAATGGGAACCTTGCTTTGGACAGGTGGCTGGGCTGTGAGGAAGTGTAGAGGTGGGACACTGTCAGGGAGACAGTTCACCTTACCTTCCCCACACTGCTTGTGTGGATTCTGGGTCTGTAAGTAGGTGCTTACTCAGATGACTACAGAAAACTTACAGCAATGATACCCCCTTCTCATTAGTATTTCTATTTCTTCTGTCCTTTTCTATTGAGACTACAAGGCCTCTCCAGAAACTGCCACTTAGAATTTTTGTTCAGCAGCATGGAAGAGAGAAACTCTGACTGTCACCACAGCATGTACACTGCAGAAGGCCCTGTTTTCTTCTTTCTCGCTTCTTCTAGGTTTTTGAGAATAGTGATTGTCATTCCCTCTCCTTTTCTCTTAAATCCATAAAAAGGCATCCATGTTTTACCAGAAAAGAGGATCTTAGTGGCCTGTAGAATTATCACTGCTGCAGTTCAAATGCTGCCCCTGATTTTTTGCTCTAAATCCACTTTTCTGTAAAATGTAATTTCCTGTGACAGAGAAAGGGTGTGCTCTCTATCATATATACCACACTCTCTGGCTGCTTTGCTCTGACTATATTTTACAAATACTCCATATTTATATAGCTCCTCAGAGCAGACCCTGCATCAAACAGCCGTTGCTAGGGCAACATTACTTCTGCCTGCTCACAGCAAACAGTCCTATAAACAGACAGCAGCTTATAGCTGCAGTAGATACATCTACCCTCAGAGAAGTACTTAAAGGACTTGAAGTAGGGGAGCACTTACATGTGGACCAGCAGAGCCTTTTTCCAGATGTTTAGAGTTCAGGAGCAGTTCAGAGCAACATCTGACATGGATGATGTTTATCAGTGTTCTACTGCCTGCTGGGCCAGTTGGTAACACCTGCCCCCTCCTCTTTCCACAGAGCCCAACTGGCTGGGAGGCCTCTGGCCCCAGAACTAGGGCCCTGCTGTGTATCTGCATGTCTGAGCATGTTTCCTTGCAGAAGCACCAAGAAGCTGGAGGAGGACAGGCCATAGGAACTGGCCTTCAAGTACCTGAGACAGGGAGTGGGAAGGTTGAGGCTGCTGGGGATCTGTGTGAGTAGGAGATCACAGTACGGACCCAGGACAGCCAGGATGTCAGCAGGAGCTCCCTGCAGGAGAAGGGAAAGAGAGAAAAGAGGGAAGACTGAGCCAGCCTTAGAGCTCTCTCCTGGCCTGCATCCAGACAGTGGCCCTCAGAGCAAATAGGGAGAAGGCATTAATTCCTAATAAAAACACAAAAAGAGCAGTTAGAATAGTTATGGGCACAGGTCCAAGCATTATCTGCATAGTAACTCAGTTAATCCTCACAACTACCCTATGAAATAAATATTACAGTTATCCCTATTTCACTGTGAAGGAGACTGAGGCACAGAAACAAAGCCACTTGCCTAGGGCCACATAGCCAGATAGCAGCAGAACCAAAATTTGAACCCAGGCTGATGGGCTTCAACATCTTACAGCCATCTGGAATGGCAGGGGGCTGGGATTTGAACCTATGTTGGTCTGAGTCCTGATGCCTCACTCTTAACGGCTAGAGAGTTCTGCCTCTGGGTGCTGCCTGCCCCTGCTGCCAGGAGCCCAGGAGGAAGTGTGGAAGGAGCCACAGGTCTGGGTCAGCTGTCTCTGGCCCACCCCAGCCAGTTCTTACTCCTGCTGGGAATGCTGTGCTGAATGAAAATGAGTTGATTCAGTGTCCCTTTCCCCTTGGGATGGCCCTTGTGGCTGGTCCTGACCCTCTAAAAATTCCCTCTTAGTCCCTAGGGCCTACAACTAATGCCTCTCTCTCCCTGGGCTCCAGGGATGGACAGGTAAGTGGTGAGAAGGCAGGCAGGGCCAGGAGAGGCTGCTCTGCTGTTTGCTTTTGTTCTTGTTCTTATCTTTTTCTCTCAGTTTTTTGTTCACTGCCTCTCTGGATAAGCCTCTGAAGGTTATTCCTGGAAAGTCTGGGCTCGGGATTCTTAACCACCAAAGGCAAAAGATCCTGTTCGTACTGCCTTTCTGGAAAGATTTTCATCGGCGGACACCAGAAGTCCTGCACAGGTCCCCTTCCCTCCCACAGTAATTGTGGGACAGCACTCTCAGTGGGCTGTCCCTGTTACAGAACAGAACAAGGGCGGGGGGGGGGCCTGGGGACGATATACTATTATTTAAAGGCCCCCCAGGTCCGTCATGTCCGCCGCCCGAGGAAAGACATCTCTCAATGCCAGAGATTCGTGAAAAAGGAAAGGAAATGTTTATTTAATGCTATACAAACTTCAAGTAGTGACCTAATGTCTTTATCAAAAACCCCAAAGTCCCCCCAAAACACCCACAAACAGACACAGTCCTTCCTTCCTTCCCCCCTTTGCCCAGTCCAGAGTACCGTATCTCAGGGAAGGAAAATGAAGTCCATGGCTCAGACAGCCCTCTGGTTCTTAGTTAGTCCTCCTTCTCGACTGGGAGACCTCCCTGGGTTCCCGGCACCCTCGGCTGAGTCGCCAGGATCTTTGCTAAAACCAGGTGGTGGTTCCCCTCCTGAAGCTGCGGGGGTCCCCACTCCGTCCAGGCCTCGTGGTTCTCCCTCTCAGGGATGCGGGAGTCTCCACTCTGCCAAAGCCGCGTGGTTCTCTCTCGTAAAGCAGCACGGTTCTCTCTGGGATGCAGGAGTCTCCACTCCGTCAAAGCCGCGTGGTTCTCTCTCCTATGGCTGCGGGAAGGGAGAGTCCTCACTCTGCCAAAGCCGCGTGGTTCTCTCTCTCTGGGATGCGCATAGTTCTCTCCTTCTCAGGGCTGCGCATGGTTCTCTCTCTCTCTGGGATGCGCATAGTTCTCCTCCTCAGGGCTGCGCATGGTTCTCTCTCTCTGGGATGCGCATAGTTCTCTCCCCAATGGCCGCCAAGTCTGGGTTTTAAATCCCTGCGGCCAGTCTTCCTCTGCAGCCTCATTTCCGACTCCTCCCACACTCAGCTTCACATGCCAGAACTCGTATCCTTCCAGCTTTACTGGGCTGCCATCATGAGTCTGGGCAGGTGTGGCCCCATGTCTTGGAGCCAATCCTCTCCGAGCTCCCACGCAGGCGCTGTAGCTTGGGGGGGGATCTGCCCCCAGTCACGTGTTGGTGGGGAAGTTACTTCCATCCCCCCCCCCCCCAGAGATGATCACAGCTATTTAACATATCTAAGCGACCAGCCAAAGGCTATAGATATGTTAAATGACCATGCCAGAGGGTAGCTGCAAGGCTGTTGCTATGCAAAACAGCTCTCAATGGCCTTGCTCCATTTGTTCCTTCTCCCAACCCACACCCTGGGTGAGGGGGGGGGGGGAATCTCCTGGACACCTTAAGTTCTGGACCCCATTTCAAATGCCCATTTGGGGTCCCCCCTCTTGGCTGCACCCTGTAACATCCCCACAGGATGAGGCCCCAATAATATCTGGCTTTTGTTTTGCCACTTCAGAAACTGCTATCAAAAGAGAGACTCCCTGCATCACTATCTTAGCAACAGTCCCAGGTGACTCTTCTTGGCCAGGTGCAGGTTATGTGCTCACTCCTAAGCTAGTCACTTGGCTGGGAGATATGTGTTTATACTGGCAGTGCTGGGTCCAGATATAGCTTAAGCCCCATCCAAAGCTCCTGGCCCAAGAGTATCAGGGAGATGATACCCCTCAGGGAGATTAAGTCCCATGACCAGAAGAAGGCAGAAGGGACCCTGAGAAGCAAGTGCAGTGGGGCCTGTGGGAGGTTCTCTTACAGGTGTAACAAGATTATGTAAACCAGGTACAGCCCTGGCATGGGATGAAATGTGTTCTCCCTTTCCTGAAGAAGTTAAGCAAAGGGTATGGATGTTTATGGAGGGGCAATTTATTTGACAAACCGTGTCCAACTTTGACCTTACCAAGAGCAGATTTTTCCTTACCAAGAACAAGAGTCCATGGTTTTTCTTTTCCACTGAGCTTCTACAGTGATTACCCTTTGGAATGGGATACACTGGTGGTGGGATTCAATTCATCTGTCTATTCAACATATGAAGAGCCCCTACAATGCACCAGGCCATGTTCCTGGGGATACCAAAAGAACTCAATGACCTTGTCCTCATAAGGCTTCACGTTTAGTGGGAGAAAGAACTAATCAACAGGATATACATACTCATATCACAATCCAATGTCAAGTAGTATTAATACTATAAAGAAAAATGTAGCAAGTGTGGGCGGAGAATGATAGCATGATAGTAGGATGGACAGGACAACTTCTCCAAGGAACTGACTTTTAAGCAAACACCTAAGTAGAGCAAAGAAGGAAATGCCAATGTCATGGTGAGGAGCAAGACTTCCTGAGCACAGAGCTCATCTGTGATTTTCAGCTGTTTTACATTAGGCAAGTTATTTAACCTGCGGTCCTCTGTTTTCTCATCTGAAAAATGGAAATAATATTAAGAACCTCCCTCATACAGTGGAGGGGTTAACTGAGTTTACATATGTGCAAAGTATTTGTGATACATCAGTATCATGATTGCTATTAGTCTGGAGGAGTGTGTCCCAGGCAGAAGGATTCATGGGCAGGCCATTTGGATCTGGTTTCTCTACTCAGAGCAAATGAGTTAAGAAGGAGCTGACCAGTACAGCAAGGAGGTGCTAGTAGTAGGACACAATATCATTTCCTTGGGGGCTTGATCACTGACATAATGACATTATATTCTGCTACATCTGAAACCGAGGCTAGAACCCAGCAGGCTGTATGTTTCACAATGTAATGCAATAGTCTAAGCAGCCCGTCAGCCTCTTCTGTGTGACTTCTTTCCTCAGGGATCGACCAAGGCCAAATGACCTATGATGGCCAGCACTGGCATGCCACTGAGACCTGCTTCTGCTGTGCTCACTGCAAGAAATCCCTCCTTGGGCGGCCATTCCTCCCAAAACAGGGACAGATATTCTGCTCACGGGCCTGCAGTGCTGGGGAGGACCCCAATGGCTCAGACTCATCTGATTCCGCCTTCCAGAATGCCAGGGCCAAGGAATCTCGGCGCAGTGCCAAAATTGGCAAGAACAAGGGCAAGACGGAGGAGCCAGTGCTGAACCAGCACAGCCAGCTACAAGTGAGTTCCAACCGGTTGTCTGCCGACGTGGACCCCCTGTCACTGCAGATGGACCTGCTCAGCCTGGCCAGCCAGACACCCAGCCTCAACCGGGACTCCATCTGGAGGAGCCGGGATGAGCCCTACCATTACGGGAACAAGATGGAGCAGAACCAACCCCAGAGTCCCCTGCAGCTACTCAGCCAGTGCAACATCAGAACTTCCTACAGTCCAGGAGGGCAGGGGGCTGGGGCCCAGCCAGACATGTGGGCCAAGCACTTCAGCAATCCCAAAAGGAGCTCATCCCTGGCCCTGAAGGGGCACAGTGGCAGCTTCATCAAGGAATGCCGAGAAGACTACTACCCGGGCAGGCTGAGATCCCAGGAGAGCTACAGCGATATGTCTAGTCAGAGCTTTAGTGAGACTCGAGGCAGCATCCAAGTCCCCAAATATGAGGAGGAGGAGGAAGATGAGGAAGGGGGAATGTCCACTCAGCAGTGTCGGACACGTCATCCACTCAGTTCCCTGAAATACACTGAGGACATGACACCCACAGAGCAGACCCCTCGGGGCTCCATGGAATCGCTGGCCCTGTCTAATGCAACAGGTAGGTTCTGTCCATCCATCCAGCAGTCAGACGGAATGAGGGGATCTTGGGTGACCTGATGCTGAGCCTCAGGGTTTTCAAGTTTTTCCTGCCACATGCTCTCCAGCAGTTCACTGGGGAGGGTGCACCCAAGCATCAGATGGCTTCTTTAATTGGATCCCCTATATGCAGAGCCTGAGGCACTCATTTAGATGCCTGTGAAGTGTTGAGGGGATGCTTCCAGGGCAGGGTAGGGGGAGGATCCAAGTGAAGGATGCTGTCTAGACAGAAGTGCAGCTTCAGCCTAACCCCACAAGGGGCTGTGAAGGATGTTACCCCACACAGTTAGTTCCCTCTTATGACAAATGTGCTGGCATTTGGCACCATCATGTCAGTCAGTCATTGGCTTTGGGCTGCTGGTGAGCAACTGGGAGATGAGGTTGTGGATATGGGGATGCAGCAAGGCAGCTCCTGTCAGCCAAAGGCAACATTCAGGAGAAGGGGCCCCTGTGAGTGGGAGGCGGTGCTCACAAAACCAGGTGCTGCCTGGGGCACCAATGCATCTGCAACAGCTTCCAAACCCCAGTATCTCATTAGGGAGCTGGTCTTAATGTGAAAATAAAGACGAGAGAGAGAGAAAGAGAGTCTGATACTCACCGTCTCCAGGGAAATTGTCTAGCTGTTTTGTATGTGCACGTGAAGACATGTAGATGTTCTCTGGGATGGCACTACCCAAAGAGTCGTCTGAGGGTCAGGGCTGGCTGCAGTCCACAGTGAGATGGGTATTGAAAGGACAATGTTTAGGGACTCTGAGAGCAATTTGACAACAGCCAAGCGCATGTTTGTTGGTTCAGATACAGACCAGTGAGGGTGTTATAGAACCCAAGGGTGAGTTGTATGTGATATTGCTGTGTATCAGTCATGTTCAGGAAGGCACATATCAGTCCACAGTGGATTAAAAATAAACTGGCCCTTCACTGAGGATAACTTCAGAAGTACTGCTCTAATATGCACTAAGTGTACCTGCCTCTCATGGGCTGGACCTCCCAGCCCATGGGAGACCACCTCTACCCCGTACCACAGAGGTCCCATAGTCAAGCGTGTCTGGGTGCAGATTGTGATAAAGTAACATGTGTCAGCCTCATCTGAAGGGGACAGCTATTCTCAGCTCCAGCTGCTTGTTGCCACTTACAGGGTTATTTATTTATTAACTAACAGTGATACAGCTTTAACCATGTGCCGAACGTTGCTCTAAGCAGTTTGTAAATGTTAATTCAGTTAAATCATCACAACCCTATGAAAGAAGATGACTATTAAATTCTCATTTCGTAGTTGAAGAAACTGAAGCACAAAGAGGCTGAAAAACATGACCCAGCTTTTAAAAGGTAGAGAAAAGATTTGATCATGTGCATATGACCCCAGAGCAATTCTCTTAATCACTCCAGGCTGCACCCTAATATGAGTCCATGCTGTCAGATCTCCCAGTTGTTAACTTGTCTCTCAGACAAGTTAAAAATGAGTGTTTTTAAAAATGTGAAATCTCTGTAAACTCTCTAACAAGCAGAACATGTCTCTGAGTTGCAGGATGTCTGTCTGTACAGTGTGTTTTTAACTGGCATCCCCCTCAGATGCTTTCACATGTGTTCTCACCTGTCCTAGAGGACAGAGCGCAGATATCCTTTACCTCCATGTTTCAGATGAAAAAAATGAGGCCTTGGTGACTAAGCACCTTGCCTAGCAATTAGTGGAGAGTGATGACTGTCTGGCTTCCAGCCCAGTTTGCACTATTCTCAAAAGGTTTACCATATGTGCTATAATTATTTAAGAGGCCAGGAGATAAATAAGTAATTCATCCTTAGAAACAGTTCCTCAAAGCTAAACTACCTGTATTAGGATGACTGGCTGCTTGATTCAAACACAGGCTTCAAGGCCTCCTGCAAGTTCTGCTGCCTCAAGCCCTATAGGCAGGGCCTGGGAGCCTGCATTTCAGACACCTCCCTGCTGATGCTGATGCAAGCACTGTCTGAGAACTGTTGTTACTTGGTTTGGTCTGTTTTTTGTTTGTTTGTTTGTTTGTTTGTTTGTTTGTTTTGTATTGTTCTCACACTATGACTTGAGGAAATCAGGACATCTGGGGGTTGGGGAATATTGGAAAGACCATGTGGGTACATTTGAAAGACATATAGTCTCTGATCTTGAGAAAGAGGCAGGGACTTTATCCTCATGATTTTCTATGGCTCCTTGGGCCAAGCAACTAATGCCCCTCTGCCTCTGAGATTTTTGGAAAGCAGTGTGAACCACATATGAGACAGCTGAGAAAAATTCCTCAGAGTAGCACTGTCCAATGTGGTAGCCACTAGCCAAATGTGACTACTGAAATTTGAATTCATGAAAATTAAAAGAAATTAAAATTTCAGGCCATGTGTTGCACTTGCCACATTTTAAATGTTCAACAGCAATGAACTAAGTTTCAAATTTCACTTGTTTTAATCAATTTAAATTTCAATAGCCACATGGGGCCAGCAGCAACCCTGTTGGACAGCACAGATGAGGGAAGTGAGCAGCTAGGATGCGCATGATTTTAATACCATCAATAGTCTCTTTGGACATTCTAACAGGAGCTCTGGTTTTCAGATTCTCAATTAATTAATGGTTTGGAGTTATGGAGCCACTCCCTCACTGGAAAGTCAGCCTTCATCATGTAAGAGTTATATGACCTTGAATAAATCACTTAAATTCTGTTAGGTCCCATTTCCTCATCCATGAAATTTCGTAGGGTTTTTGTGAAAACTAAATGAGAATGCATTAAAACTTGTTAATATAGTTCTTGACACATATGATCCTCTAAATAGTTACCTGATGCTTTTTATTGTTACTATTTCTCTCTCACCTTGAAGATACTGGGGCATAATTCTGGCCTCCGGGAAGTTTTAACTACTGACGTCTCCTGGCATCCACCAGCTTCACAGGCTTGCATTTATTTTCAGGTTTGCAAATGCTCCAGTGGGCTATCTTCTTCCTAACCTGAGAAGAACATGAGAAACAGGGAAGTGAAGAAACCCATTTTGTGTTCTTCTGTTTCCACAGACCTATTTGACACAATCTCACAGAAAACACAGTAGCACAGAAGAAAGATTGTAGCTAATATTCAAAACACTGTTTTGCCTTTTGTCACTGGAACAGACCCTAAAGAGCCTTTCACATCCAACACCACACAGAGTGTATACCAAGGATACGGTGTTGACTAAACTAGGGAAGTCAGTCTTTTTGCTTCAAATCCTTACTGTTGCACTTAAATTTTGCTGAAAAACTCAGTGGTCTGTTGAGAAGGTAGTGTTCTGAACTGTGTATCTTTAAATCCTAGAATTTCAGTCTATGAGTAACAGATACGTGTTGCAAAAGGCTTAGCCAAAACACCTTGATCCTTTGGTGAAAGCTAGATTTCAGGATAATGGATTTTTCCCCCATGGTCAGCAACTTGTGTTATTGAATAAGTCTGTAGTGTTTAATTTGGCATGAAGCATGAATTTTTTGTGGGCACCATTTTTTTCTTAAAACAGATCCGGAAAAACAGATCACCCCAGTGGCTTGCCAGCTTCAGATGTGGGCTGCAGCACCTCCTAATCTGGTTAGAATTGGGAGTGTACCGTCCCTTTTCGGAAAACACAGTCTGTCCCTTATGCTCATGGGGAGTGAGTCAGCCAGGCACAGTCACCATGTATACCAGGACCATACAGAGCCTTTGCAGAAGTTCTTTACCGTGCCATTCCCTAAATGCAACTCTAAAACAGCTGGCAGCTTAGATGATCACACTATTCAAAATAGTAATAACAACAGCATCAACAGCAACTAATATGATTAGGGTTTTTTTAAATATATTTTATTGATTATGCTATTACAGTTGTCCCATTTCCCCCCTTCACTCCCCTCCACCCTGTACACCCTCTCCCCCTTCCCCCCCCTTTAGTTTATGCCCATGTGTCATACTTATAAGTTCTTCAGCTTCTACATTTCTCATACTATTCTTACCCTCCCCTGTCTATTTCCTACTTACAATCTATGCTACTTATTCTCTGTACCTTTTCCCCCTCTCTCCTCCTCCCACTCCCCTGTTGCTAACCCTCCATGTGATGTCCATTTCTGTGGTTCTGTTCCTGTTCTAGTTATTTGCTTAGTTTCTTTTGGTTTTGCTTTAGTTGTGGTTGTTAATAATTGTGAGTTTGCTGTCATTTTACTATACATGTTTTTTGTTTTAATCTTCTTTTCTTAGATAAGTCCCTTTAACATTTCATAAAATAAGGGCTTGGTGATGATGAACTCCTTTAACTTGACCTTATCTGGGAAGCACTTTATCTGCCCTTCCATTCTAAATGAAAGCTTTGCTGGACAGAGTAGTCTGAGATATAGATCCTTGTCTTTCATGACTTGGAGTACTTCTTTCCAGCCCCTTCTTGCCTGTAAGGTCTCTTGTGAGAAATCAGCTGATAGTCTGATGGGAACTCCTTTGTAGGTGACTGTCCCCTTATCTCTTGCTCCTTCTAGGATTCTCTCCTTCATTTTTACCTTGGCTAATGTAATTATGATGTGCCTTGGTGTGTTTCTTCTTGGGTCCAACTTCTTTGGGACTCTCCGAGCTTCCTGGACTTCCTGGAAGCCTATTTCCTTTGCCAGAATGGGGAAGTACTCCTTTATTATTTGTTCAAATACGTTTTCAATCTGTTGCTCTACTTCTTCCCCTTCTGGTACCCCTATAATGCGGATGTTGGAACATTTAAAGATGTCCTACAGGTTCCTAAGCTTCTCCTCATTTTTTAAAATTCTTATTTCTCCATTCTTTCCTGTTTAGTTGTTTCTTTCTTCCTTCTGGTCCACTCTATTGATTTGAGTCCCAGTTTCCTTCCCATCACTATTGGTTCCCTGTGCATTTTCCTTCATTTCTTTTATGGTAACCTGCATCTCTCTCTCTCTCTCTCTCTCTCTCTCTCTCTCTCTCTCTCTCTCTCTCTCTCTCTTTTGGTTTG